AACTGATTCAAACTAAACTAGAATTGGAATCATCAAATATCAACTTCAGAAACACCGAATTCCCAATTAAGTTCACCAATTTTCTAATTGTAACTTAAATTCTTGATCGAATTTTTTACGTGATAAAAAAAATAACAGTAGGTAACAAGTTTTCTTTTTCTCCCTCAAATTGACTTCCATTTTTGTTCGGCCACTCGCCATTAACAATATCAACGGAGGAAGCTAGCTATTATCCTCATCGGAAATTAACTCATCTGCGCTAAGATACTCTTATTGGGCTGGCTTAGAAAGGTGATGGGTCTTTAGTGGAATAGACAAGCTCTTTAAATCGGCTATGGGTCAATTAATACAAGGCCCAATGATAGTTTGGATCGTGAATGGGGGTGATTGTTCTTTTAAGAAGGTTAGAAAAAATTAGAACCAACTTAATTATAAATTAATCCCTATAGTTTATAAAAAGAAATTAATTAATCCTTATACTATTATATTTTCTTACCAAACAGATTTTTTTTTCACCATCTTTTGTTCATATTTTCTTAAAATACCTTTTTTTAATAATGGTATTTAAATAATTTTTACAAAATGAATTTTAATTAAAATATTTTACGAAACTATATCTCTTAATTTTTTACCAGACATATATTTTAAAACATATATAAATAAATAAATAAATAAACAGATAGTATTTTAACCACTTGACTACCATTAATCATATCAATTTAATAGTTTTTTTTCTGAAAAAAAAACCTCCTTTTATAATCAAATTCCCCGTCTCAGCAATCTTCGAGAAGGAACATCTCAACCACTAAAAGAAAAAGTGTATTTGATGATGTAGGAAGTGCACACATGAATATGTACATTGTTAATGGGGTGCAGTGGGCCGCCGACACGAGGTGTTTTCCATGGACATTTATTTTATATTTTAATCACTTAAAAGACAAAACTGCAGACGGTGACCGAATTATAAAAGTGGCCTTCCTGTACAAAATAATAATAATAATAATAATAATAATAATGAAGAATGAACATGAATGAAATAAGATGTCAAATAAAAAAATAAAAATAAAAAAGACAACAAGACAATCCATCATGTGAGGGTATATGGCTTTTTTTTTCTTTCTTTTTTTATTAATCCAGGGTGTCTGATTTTAGCTTGCGCACATCGCGACTAATCCCTGTAGCTCTATCGAACACTCTACAAGTCCAGAGACATGTAATGCACCACGGGGTGACGGATGCGTACAGAGAGAGTCGAACCCGAATGATTCTTAGGGAGTAAGTCCTTGTTTCGCTAGGCTACGACCTCAAGCACGGATACATGGCTTTTTACTTCTTCGTGAAGCTCGTTAAAGTTAGGCCCTTGAATTATTATGAATTTTCTCTCTTAATAATATCACATATATAGCTATTTGACCTAACATTTCAACGATATGTTTTATATCCATTAATTCACATTATAAATACAGAAGCTCTCCTTCTCATCAATGACAAGTTCAACAAAATTTCTTGAAAAAAAAAAAAACTTCAAACACAAATTCAGTAAAAATAAAATACAAAAAAAATAAAATAATAATAATATATTTTTTAAAAAGACATCTCCATCCTTCTCTAAGAATATACATACAAAACATCTCTCTCTCTCTCCATAATGTTCAAAACACTGATTTAACCGTTAAAATGAATTTGCCATACACTCCTAACACCACTAACTTCCGAAAAAAAAAAAAAAAAAGGCACTGCCATTATTATCTACACCCATTAAAAAAAAAAAAAAAAAAACCCCGACGCATCATAACCATAAACTTTTTTTTCTTTTTTAAAATCAAAACCATATTCAGACAGATTTGGTTTACCAAAACCAAATGAATTTATTATTCAATTGGAGTGTTCTAAAGAGTTATATTTCTCACACCATTAAAATGCAAAACTGGCAATAGCAATCGAGAAAGACCATGTCGAAGATGAAATGGGAACACGATGATTTGACTTACCAACTATCAAACTCACTATGCTTTTTTTTTTTCGACGTCATCACTTTTCCACGATCCAGAATGCTTTGCTATGATTGCACGTTCCTCTATTAACATAAAAATCTTTTGCGTTAAATGAAATTGACTATACATAGTATTGTAGTTTCCCAGAAACTCATGGTCAGAGACAATTCTTCCACCAGGAAATCCTCTATTGAAGAAATAAATATCACGAAGCATCTTGGACTTGGAGGCAATTGCGTGTCAACTTGTTTCTCGATAACGCTTTCAATCAAACGAACTTCTTAATTAAGCTAATTTATCAATTTTTTTATTTTTATTTTCATTTTATTTATTTATTTATTATTATTATTATTATTTGTGTATACTCCACAACTTCCATACGGCTGGGTTAATTTGTGGAGAAGGAAAAATATAATATTTTTTCTCCTAAGTCAACAAGGGCAATTACGTCATTAACAGCCTTGTATCTTCAACTTCTAACAAATATATATAAATGTAGTTTGAAAAACAGATGAAATGACCCATAATTTAAGACCCAGATCCGTTATCCTCGCATCCTTTAATTTTCCTTGATCAAATCAAAACTAAAAGATATGTATAATGATAATTTCTATAAAATTTATTAAAAATTTATAAAAACTCTAACTAAAAAAGTCTATGTTCGAATTACATATAGTTATATTCCTTTTGAATCTAATCATGTTTCGGGTAATTTTTTTTTTTCTTGATCCATAAGCCATAAGGCATCACGAGCTCAAAAATCAAAACTAATCTCTAATTATTCTATTAAATGCATGAGACGAAAATAATTATAAAATTTTTTTTATGTATATAAAAATTTAAATTCGATATCACATATTTACACGATCGAGCTCTTTTCGTTCAAGCTAACACTCTCTTAAATGTTTGAGCTAACCTATAATATTTAAGAATTTTTTTAACATATATAACTATTCCAACTCAATACTACTTATTTAAACAATTACAACTCATTCTTTTAAACCAACCTTCTTAAGTCCTTCAGTTAATTTTTGGATGCCTAAAAGAAAATTAATGGCTTATATATATATATATATATATGAAACTCGTTCAATGTTTCTCCAAAGAATCTCGTAATTAAAGAGCTAGCAAATTATCTCCAAGAAAAAAAAACTATTAAACGATATAGATCAGTTATAATTTCACCAAAACAAAGTGGATTCTATAATCCTATTGGTATTGAAAAGGTTCTCTGTCTCTATGTATATGTGTCAATGGGTGAAATTTATGTTGTGCTATTATATCATTCTATATTATTTATTTTAATATTTCTATTGATATATTACAAAACAAATTCTGTACTAAATATTAAAACAAATCAATCCCATTACATCAGTGTCTGATCAATCATATCATAAGAAGTGATTAAGGGGATAAATAGAATGACTAATTTATTTCAATATTCAGTACTAGTACATAGTTGATTTCGCACCATACTGAATGAAAAAATTAAAATAAATAATAATGAATAATGTAAAGATATTGAACAAAAAATTAAAATAAATAATATTGGATAATATAAAAATACTTGTTAATTTTTGCTTATGTATTAACTAGTATTTTTATCTCGTGTTACGTTGCGGATCGAACAAAATACATAAAATTATTTTTAAATTTTTATTCTATTTTAATGTGTCGTGTTATATTATATGTCTATTAAAATATATCAAATCAAAATTAAAAAAATAAAATATTTAATTTTATCAATTTTTAATCAAAAATTTATATTTGATTAATTATTCTTTATATTTTTCATAAATTTTTTATTGAAAAATATTATTTATTTATCTCTATCTATATTTTTAGCTAAAATCTTATTTTGTAAAATTTTTTTATAAACATCTTTTTGCCTTAAAATTTTTAATTAAAAAAATTAAAGAAAAAACAAAGACCAAAGTGATCAAAATAAAATTAAAAAATAGGTTAAAATCAAACAAAAAATATTTAATAACTAAAAAAATAATATTTTAAAAAAATCAAAATGTAATGTTATTAAAATTTTTACAATAAATATTTAAAAACTATAAAATATTATTGTATAGTAAAAAAAAATAATACATTTAAATTCGAATGAATAATATAAATAAATCTATACCAATATTTGAAATAGTATAATAAATAGTAATAATAGTGGTGTTGTGGTGTTTTTTTTTTGAAAAAAAAAATTTATGTAATGGGCACCCTCAGTAACGCATGCATGTGCTGGACTGGGCGGCAAATAATGATGTTCATGAAAAATAATTCTTTCTTGGAGTTTTTCCCACTAAACTAGGCAGAACAGTTGATGATGCAGCACGAACTTTTGCTATACAACCATGATTACTAACTTGACAATTTCTTCACTTAGATTAAAGAAACCCTTGTTTTGTGTTGGGTCTCCGGCAACATGATTGTAAATTATACCTTCAAATGCATGTTTCCATTACTGCAATTCTTTATTGCTAATTATAAAATAGTTTACCTAAAAGGTGCCAAAGTATCTTTTATATATATATATATATATATATATATATATATATATATATATATATATATATATATAAAATGCCATTACGACTCGAAATCAAGTCCTTGTTGTGGTGCGGTTTCTTTGTCTTTTTGTTTTTATAATTAAGACCGTAGTTGGTGGTTTGGAATTGCCAATTTGATACTTACCATCGTGGGCATCCTGTCATGGACAACTTGCACTGCAGATTCTCGATAATTCAAAAGGATTCTTTCTATAATTTGGCGTACCAAATTGTAAAGTTAACGGGAAAATTTTGATAGGATTAGAAGTTCTTATCGTGTCCATGCACTGTACGCTAGCAGGCCGACTTGACTCACATGCCTTTTTGTAGGTTGACAAGTCAACAAGTGGAATACACATGTATCTGGACCTATATGCATTAACTTTAGCACTGGAACTAGTACTATATAAACTTTTTATCAGCCATCTCATACCCATTAATGAGCAGCTAGCTAACCATGTCAGCTCTCTTGAAACTCTTCTCTCACCTCTACGCCATTACCATAGCCTTATTCAATCTCTTACTCTTCAAAGCCCTATTTCTGATCCGGTCCTGCGTCCCCGGAACTGAGGTCACAAATCCTGATAAGCTTTTGCGCATAGTTAGCGCACAATATCTCAGCATCATTGAACAAACAAATCCAACAATTCACTACTGTGAAAAATTCAGCTGGCAGCAATCTCGAGACTGTGCAGTATGCTTATCAGAATTTATGGAAGGCGAAAGGGTTAGGAAATTGCAATGCAATCACGCGTTCCACAAGGAGTGTTTAGACAAATGGTTACAGCAGTATATGGCTACATGCCCACTTTGCAGGACTAGGGTTCTGGCAGATGAGATTGTGGTCAATTATCATCAGCTGCGAGATAATATACTGAACGGTGGAAGCTACGATGATACCATTTTCTTGTTATCTTCATTATATGGCAATCGTTTGAACAAACTTCTCTAGCGTAAATATATATATATTTTTTGGTTGCCATAGACAACTATAAATGTATAGTTATAGATACCTCACTTATGGCAGAGAAATTCTTTCAATTATGTATATATATATATATATGTGTATGTATGTTTTTAGTGGCTTACTAGCTGTTTTGGGTATGATTAATCTCTGTTAATGTGAAAGGATATATAATGGTTTTGATATATTGAGTATTTTTTTTTTTTTTTTTTGCCTGAGTGGAGGTAAAGTTTCCTTCTCTGGAAAAGTGAGAGAGAGAGAGAGAGATATTAGTATAATTTATCGGTTAGAATAAGAGGAAACTTTAATTTCTTTCCAAATTTATTCACTCATTCTGCTGTTAAGTCCCAATCTTATGTATTTTTATCCATTAGATTTGAAATGTTTTTTAAAAATTTCCAATCAGAGTTTTTATTTTTACTCATCAATATTTTTATCATTTTTCTTCAAGTTGATGTCGTTGTAGGGCATAGATATGTTCATTAGATTAAAAAAAAAAGTTAATATTCATTATTTTTTTAGTCAATTTTTTTTTTAAATCTAAACAATTTTAGTATATAAAAAATATAAATTAGATTTAAACCATTAAAAAAAATTAACAAAAGGACACAATTGAGAAATGTAAAAAGACATTCAAGGCTTAATTGATAAAATTTATAGGTCTAAAAAGTAATTGAGAATAAATATATATGGTTGGGACTAAATTGAGGCTTTTTCATAAAATAAATGCAACTCCATGTATTGAATGTCAAGTACTCCACAAACGCGTACTTACATTGACATTTTTCTTTAGAATTTCTTGTGCAAAGGAAGCATAAATAACCTAAAAAGGTTTATTTGATGAAAAAGAAAAATTTATTCGTTTAAGTAAATAACCTCGATTTTAAATTTTTATATATATAAAAAAAATTTAAATAACTATATCAATTTTACATACTGGACTAAAAACAGAATTAGTTTCAATATTTAAATTTGAGATAGCTTGATAATTTTTTTTTAAAAAAAAGCGTAAATAACATAATAATATATAGCAAGTGGAAACAAAATAGAGACGTGGATCTTCTTATGAGGTTCCGCAACCTAGAACCCACCTCTACCTTATAGAAATTTATGTAATATATGAGATTGGTGATTAGCAGAGGTAATAACAAAACTGAAAACTCGAGACTCGATGCATCTAATGTTTTCAATCTGACAGTCTAAATAATAGAAAAGGTGTTGTCGCTGAAATATTGAAATCACTGCAACTTACAACACTATAAGAAAAATGACATCTATTGACGGAAATGATGAAAAAAAGATTCAAAGAACAAAATTTCAATTTTCATTGCAAATTTAACAATATATATATACTCGCCAGAAATCTTTATAAAATTCGAACCATTTAAACCGTTCAAAACGTGCAAGTTGATCATCTATGACCAATGAATTTAATTGACTTATTAAGAGCTTTTGATACAAAATAAAACAATTAATTACTTCCAGCACTACTTGAAAGTTTTTTTATTTGCAGCCAGCAAGAGTACGGTTTCAGTAATGTTCTCCTCGACATATGTAGAAACGGATCAACCTCTAGTTGTATTAAATTGCTGGATTAGAGATTTTATTTCGTTGCTTAATTGGTTCTCTGGAAACAAAAAAATGTCTTTCTGGGTAGTTGTCTGGCAATAGAGATGGATTAGTTTGTATTTTTGTGCATAAAATACCTTGGAGAATAAAAACATAAAAATAATATATATATATATATATATATATTAGTCACATGCTTCAAGACTTCAACAAAAGTCTCAAAGTTACACCTTAAACATACCGAGTTAATTATAACTTAGTCCCTTAGTTTATTAAAACTTATTAATTAGTCCTTATATTATTAGAAATAATTAAACAATCCTTTAACGGATGTTAAACATTCTCAATTAGTAGTTTTTTTCTTTCTTCCCCCCGAAAAAAAAAAGAAGGAAAAAAAACATTTTTTTCCTTGTCAATTTTTCCATCTTACCTAGTACTCTTTTCTTATTATATTTTTTCAAGAAAGAAAAGCAAAATAAAGTGAAAAAAAAAACATGAAATTGAAGAAAAGACTAAATTATAAAAATATTAAAAATATAAAGCTTATATGATTTCTAAAACTATGGAGAATAATTAATTTGTTTTGCTAAACTAAAAGGACTGAGTTATAATTTATGAAAACATACTCGCTGCTGTCTTTTGTTTTGTTTTGTTTTTTTTTTTTTTTTTAACAAGCATTTGGATATTTGCGGATCCTTATAAATATTCATAACTATTTCTCTACTAGTTGGGACAGAGTTATATCAGTTTTTTAAATCAATCAGGTATTCTTTATATAAAGCGCACACACTTTGCTTTATATCCCTGTCCTAGCACATCCCGTATTCATCAACAATTCCTTCTCAGTAGCCATGGCAGCTCTCTCTCAATTCTTCTATTTGACGCTACTCGTCCTCTACTGCTTGATCTTTGAACTCGTAATCCAAATACGCTATGTCATTATGACTATCAGAAACATTTTTGGTAAAGGGATGCTTAGCGCCCCCGAATATCTCAAATTTATCGAAGAAAACGTTCCAGCAATTTCTTACTCAAACAGGTTGGGATCGATGGATTGTGCAGTGTGTTTATCTGATTTTAAGGAAGGTGAAGCTGTTAGAAATTTGAAGTGCAAGCACACATTTCACAAGAGTTGCTTAGACAAATGGTTACGAGGATATTTGACTACATGTCCGATTTGCAGGACTGAGGTTTTGCCAAGTGAGTTTGTTGCCGATTACAAACGGTTGAAATATCAGATGGAGAATGATAGGATCTATGAGGGGGACATGTTCGTATTATTATCCTCAATCAATGCTAACCACTGGACTGGATTTTTTTAGTCTCTTTTGTGATTTTCCTTTTTTAATTAGGTTCTGCCTCTTGCTTGCAATGCAATAATTCTCTCATAAATATGGCTTTGAGTCATCTTTAAAAGGAACTCGAATGTCGTATATATCCCCTAGCTAAATGTGGATTCAATTTATGAATCATTTTGATGATAAATACTTACAGCTAGATCAGAAATTTTATAATATTTGAGTAACTATTTTATATGTATGTTAGTCTGTGTGGATCAACTTTTCAGAAAAAAGATGAACATATAAAAAAAAATTACATTTAAATTCATAAAAAATAATTAAAAAACTTTTAGTTGGCTCAATTTTTTTTTCTAATGTTCTTCTTCTTATTCCTTTTTTCTCTTTATGTCTCTTTATAGTATAAGTTATAATAATAATTATTTAAATATTATAAAATTTCTCATATCTAGACATATATATGCATTTATATTCAACGTAATCAACCTTATTTTCATATTTTGATAGATTTACATTGTAGTTCCTAAACTTTTAAAGAATTTCGCTTTAAGTCTTAAATTTAGTATCTCAACAAGTTAAAATGGAGTGTAAAAGGAATGTGAAAAGTGGAATCTATAAATCCGTTTCAATTGATTTTTTAAGGTGTCTAAGTTAAACACTTTTTTCTTCTTTACTCTTTAATCTTTATTTTTTATTTTTATTTTCATTTCAGTCCTTGTTTTTGTCTTACTCCTTAGTCTTCTCTGCTGATAAATAAAATTCATTATTTTTTAATGACTCACGTACGGATGCCCTTAGGATAATTATAAGGAATAAATTAGAACTTCTAACTAACTGTTATGAATTTTCTTTCTTTTTTTTTTAAAAAAAGAAAAGACCAAAGTACAAATTTTTGAAAAACAGTGAAAAATGATAGGGCAAAGGGGTGATTATCCACAATGCTTTAGGGTAATGTTTTAGTATTTTTTTTTTTTTTTCATAATGACCATCAAAGAATACATTTTATTGTATAAGTGAAAATTACCTTATTTGATCTTTTACATGTTAGTAGTTATTCTTTTTTCATTCTATCTATTTTTTTTTTAATTTAATGGGTTGATGGCCAAATAAATTTGGAAGCTTAAAAAGACTTTGCTCAAAGATAATATTAAAAAGACTTTGCTCATCAAACTTGAATCATTATATTTTAAAATTTATTTAATCTTTTTGTAATCAAATAATAAATATATATAATGTATTGGATGATAAATATTTTAAATTTTTTGTGCTGATATGATCAAATTATGTCATGTTCTAGTATAAAACCAGACCCAACTAAACAGGACGGGAAAACACGAAATAAAAAAGGCCATCACAGTTTAGAAAACCAAAAAGACCCACAGTTCCAAAAACAAAATTATTGGTGGGACAGAGATGTCAGAAGTCACTCATAAAGTCTTCGAAGCACAAGCTGTCTCGGCCCAAAAAAAAAAAAAAATTCATGGCACAACAGTATGATGGTGGAGCATTAAATGGGAGTACGAACATAACTTGGAAGCGGCACTAACTGGCGGAAAAGTAATTAAGCAGAGAATTGAAGGGCGCTAGTTAAGAAAGCAAAATAAGCGAAGAAAGGAAGATAAACGAAGAAAAAATAATGCAAGAGGCCGTGCAAATCAAGGGCGCACAGAGAGGCAGTCAGATAGAGCATAGGAGGAACGGCTGTTAGAGCATCTACAATGATGCTATGTACGTTTAGCTAATATTTTTAATATAAATAAAAAAATATTAATTATATAGATTGAATATCAATATCTTTTTCAATGTTATTTTTTATTTTGATAAAATTTATAAAATCCAGAAAGACCATTAATAAAGCGACTGAATGATAAAAAAATTTTTTTTTCATTAATGAAATATAAGATAAAAGTCATTATTATTGAGCCAAACTTTTTTATTATAAAAAAAATCTTAATATAAAAAGAGCATTGAAGATGCTTGGTAGGGAGCTAACTTTAAAGCTCGGAAGACATGGAAAAACATCTACAAGGAACTGAGTTAGGGTGAAAAGATTGTGAACAGTAAAAACCCTACTCTTTTAGTGTATTTTGTGATTTATTTTGATAATTTTAAGTTTTTCTTATTAATTTATAAAATTTGAATCTTAAAATATCAATTTTTAAGCAAATCATATCCAAATTCATTAATTATAAAGATCAATCCAAGTTGATGTTAATTTTTTTATTTTTTTATTTTTATTTTTTGTTAATTTAAAAAAGATGTTCAAAATGTTTTTTTTTCTATTTTTTGAGATTTTTTTATACTCATTTACCCGTAAATAAAAAAACTTCATTAAATTCATCACGAAACTTTTTTTTGGTTCTCTCTCAAAAAGAGTTTTCATTTTTTGAACCTATTTTTAAAAAAATAAAATATGTGAAGATAAAGAATATTAAATAAATATAGCTATATTTAAAATGTAATGATTGAGAATCACAAGAATAAATTTATTGACATGACAAAAGAAAAGTTTCAGTTAAAATTAACTATTTGATGATTTCAATTGATCAACTTCAACAAATAGGTATTTATATTTTATTAATTATAGAAGTTGATTGTTTTAATGTATAATGATATTACATAAAAGTTATTTTTAAAATTAAAAAAATATATATACAAATAACAATTTGATTGATTATAAAAAATTAAAAAAATCAAAAGGATTAATATGTAGAAATTTTAAATAGAAAGAATCTCTTTTGAAAAATAGAGAAATTTTTTTTAACATTTTAAAAAAATTAATAGAAAAAAATTAAGATTAACTGGGTTGATTGATATAATTAGCGAATTTGAATAAAAATTTCTCAAAAATTGATATTTTATGATTTAAATTATATAAATTAATAATAAAAATCTGAAATGTCACATTGCAATAAAATATGAGCAATTTTTGTCATTAAATCAATGTATTTGATAGTGGGATTTACTCTTTTTCAAAAAAGAATTGTCATGTGTTTTGGTATTGAGATTCACATGATAGTATTACGCGTACAGTTTTGGCCATCTCAAATTGTAAAAAAAAAATGCAGGTTGTTCTCTTAAATAATAACGATTGAAATATACATGCTCAAATATAAAAAATCGACAAATTTATACACTAAATATATAATCAACCCAACTTCAATTATAAATTAAGATGGTATCAAATATCCAAGATGCCAATGGTTGCATGCGGCAACAAATGATTCACACTTGAAATCCTATTAAGGAGGATAAAGGTTGGTCTGGACCAATATTAACGGATCTTGCCTTAAAGCTCACTAAAGTTTTCTCACATATGCTATGGCCCAAGTCTCAATCATACAGCTTATTGCTTGTGCTTGATTAACCCTTTTCACCTTTGAGCGCCTTTGCAAACGGTATATAACTTTCATCCGTATTGATCTTAAAAATACAAATGCATTAAAAACAAAACTGCATCTATAGATTCTAATCTTCATTCATTTGGATTAGATTCTAATCTTCTTTCACTAAAAAAAATATTGAATCATATTTTTTTTATTCATTTGAAATTCAATGAATCTATTAGGTTATCCAATGGGATAACCCTTTCCATTACATAATCGTTAAAAAAACTAAAATCTTCAAGAATTAAACCTTATTTTAATAAAAAAAATAACTAGATACACAACCGTTAAATTAAAACTGTTTGTAAAAAATTGAATACTATCATCGGTTTTTTCATCTCTTTTACTGTAAATATATACATGTATATACAACACATTCGTTCATAGAACTATCAATCTTTAAGCACTCTTTATCGAATAGCAGATAGCAGCTCTCCATAAAGTCTTCTCTTACCTCTACACCATGACCATAGTCTTTTTTAATCTCTTGCAATTCATTATTTTAATTCACTTCGTTGTCCCTGGAAGTGTAACACTTTTTCATAAAAAAAAAAAAAAGAATATGCTTCACTGTTTCAACGCGTTCCGTATTGGTTTTCTAGGAGGTTCTCGTAATGAGTTTGCTTTTAAACAAAAACGCAAGCATGCAATCCCTAAACGGCAGGTAAAAATGATTATTATAAAAGTATATATTTCTCTGTTTCTCTTATATTAATAATTAAAAAAAAACACTAAAAAAAATATAAGATATTGTTGCTTTCACTGTGAATTTAGACCATATATAGGCTATATATAGAAGTAATTTGGAATTATCCTTTTTTTCCTTTTCTGTAGGCTATATATATATATATATTAAGACGCTTTATGAATTTTTTATGTGTTTATATTTTTTTTACAAGTTCAATGATTATGTTCACCTAAATAAGAGGCGTTTTATGGTTTGTTTTTCGAATTATGCCTTCCTCTACTTGAAGAAGATGCGAGTTATGAAAATTTTTTGTTTCGATTTATTTATTAATTTGTTTTGTTATTTTGCACCAATCGAATTTGTGTCTATTGTTCCATCTCTACTCAAGTTCCATTGAAATATTATACTATATTTTTTAGTTAGGCCAAAAATTCAACCTTTTGCTCTTTTTTTATTGAGTCATCTTAGCAAGAGTTTGACACGTAACATTTTGTTTATGCTAGTGACGTTCATTGGATCCAACTATACCATCAGATACCGTTTTATGCAATTTGGATTCAGGAATCGCATTATAATTCAACCTTAAAAATCAGTAGTACATAGTTTTTTTTTTTTTTTTTTTTTTTTTTTTTTGTCAATGACTAGGGAAATCTCCTGGATAGATCCCTTAGGGCCAATCCCAATTTACAAACTCCCGAGCTCATAAGCCACCCTCAACGATTACGACCCATCACAGATTTCTGTGAGCAAGGTAATGAAGGCCTATAGTTTATTCCAAATCTGGCATTTTCTTCAAAATTAAAAGTAAAGGAACCGAATAGGTCAAAAAAGAAATTATACTTTAAATAGGAGATCCGAAATTTCAAATCTTATCCTTTGCAAGGAAATAAAATAAAAAATGGAGCAGCAAACAAAGCAGGGATGGGGAAAGATGCCTTGTAACTTGAGAACAATGTACCACGTTGGCCAGCACATGCTTTAGTCCAATTCATAATTTTCTCAGAAGAGTCTCCACTCTCCAGACCCAAAGAAAGCAAAGAAACATGCTTATATATATATATATATATGTTTGCCCAATCAATTGTGTTTATGAATGCCCTTATCATCTTTTTTTTTTTTTTTCTTTCTGAAGTATAATGGCCTTTATGCTGATCTCTAATCAGGAGTCTGACATTTGCTCCTATCCAGACCTGAAATTTCCCCAAGTTCAGATTCCAATTCAGGCAACTTGGAAGAAAATTTTTCTTGTATAATCCAAACCTTACAACATGGGATTCTACACAGAAGAAGAGAATCCCCTTTCTAAAACACTTTTATGTACATAATTACTAGTAAAAGAAAGAAAATAAAACATAATTTCCTGAGGCAGAGAAAATGAGAAACTTATTAGGCAGAAAAGAAGCCATTAGATGCTGCAAGACCTATCTGGCTCTTAGGCTCCAAAATCAACTTGAGAAGCTCTGTTTTCTCTCTCCCTATCTTATTCTTGATACTCTGACCCATGATGGAGGCGTAAGAAACCCAGTTAATCTCCAGGTCTTCTTCTCCTCTACCTGCAGCTTTTTTTGAATTCTTGACCCTCCTTTCATACTCCTCAGCAACCAACATAGCAATGTCAGCCATTTTTCTCTCAAATTCCTGTGGTAATTAACTCCTTGGTTTCTCTCACTTTTTGAAAAATTTCGATTGGTGAATGATGTGCAAGAATTTCACCGCGGAAACTATTTATAGGGAAATGAGAAGAAACTACAAATGTGGATAAGCCTGACAGGTAGCATTTATCTGTGATGATTTTTCAAAGATTTTTTAGCATCCTCTCGCATTATTTTATGTTTGTTTTGTCTGTTTCGTTGTTTAAGTCACGGATTTAACTTCCTATGGATTACTTCTTCTTTTTGTCCGAGAATCTATGGATTACACTTAATGGAATATTACTGTAATGGAAGCCTATAAGTTACCCCCTTGAAGTCACCTTTTTTCTCCGCCTTATTATTTAAGATTCCCTCATGGTCTATGACGTGTGCCACATGCAAATGGCTTTGACAAATGTTAAGCATGCAATTACATAAGGGTTAATTATAAATTGAACGATTACTTTATCTTAATAATTATAAACTGTTGAATTGCTGACTTAAATCAACTTTCAGGTGCCACGTGTATTCTTAACTTTCTATGAGTTGGAGCACTTCAAGTCGACCCTAGTTTTTGCTAAAATTTCGAGTTATATATTGAAAAGTTATTAGTCCAAAAATAAATGATTTGATTTTAATTTTTTTTATTAATGTGTAGAGTTTGAATGTTAAAATCTATTTTGTTGGAAGAAGGATATTTGAGGGGAAAAAAAAGGCTTATTGAAATAATTATCTGATATTTGGATAAAATCCGTGAAGCAAATCTTTTTCTTTTAAGGAGAGGAGAGGTGGTGGGGAAGGGAGGGCAGTTCGGTAATAGGAATCGGAGCAAGCAGTTATGTGTTACGGTGGATGGTTTGGTCAGTTCCGAAAACTGCAAGCAGTGGTTCCGAAAACTGCAAGCAGTGGTTTTCAGCTGTCCTGCGACCGCCCACCAATTCTTGCAGCAGGGCAGCTTCGTCGAACTGCCAGGTGCAAACCCACTGGCTTCGAGAAATAGTAAAATAAATAAATATTATGAAAAAATTAATAAAATATTTTTTTTAAAAAAATGAAATAATATTAAATTAGGCACCATCAATAATATCAAAGAATTAAATAATTACTTTTTAAAATAAAAAAATAAATTTATTTATTTTTTAAAACTAAAGGGACTAATTTATAATTTGCTCTTATTAAGACAGAATAAATGTCAATTTTTTTTTTTGTTATATATTTCAGGAACATAGTTATTATTGAGCATAAATTATTTTTTTTTCAATTAATAAATTTATCCAAAGATTGAGGAATTTTTTCCTTTGATTGTGGAAGATCGAGGAGAAATATTAATATGATGATCAATGTTGTCATTACAATTTCTTTAATCCACAAAAAATGGAGGCATTGACCAATCCATATCCATGCTCAAATATCTCCCATCAATCTTCAGAAATTAAGAGTGGTTTGCCAAATTTAATGCATAGAACCTACAAAGCAACCCTATTCTATGTTTAACAGATGCATCGCACCGCATTCAGACTTCTCGATCTTAGTGGGTATATTCTAACCACAATATAGAATACTTAGATTGTTTATTTATTTATGAGCAAACCTTATCTACAAGACAAACTAAAATGCTACCACGTGGTCGGTGATGGTGATAGCGATGGTGATGGCCACTTGGTCTTTCAGTACGGAAACAACCTCCCTACCTACTTTTCTGCATACCACAATGACCGTGCCCAGCCAATCCAAGATACTAATAATATATGTTAAGTTCACATTACAGACGAGCAGTAATCCTTAACATAGTTGTGGATGGATAAAAGGGAGCCTCTATAGTCAATGCTATGAAAATTATATATATATATCTTTTCTGAACTGTGGTAAAGCGTTTTTCGGTTTTCTTATTTTTGTCTAGCATGGCTGTAAGATCGTAGGTGTTAGTATTAATGAAAGATAGGATGGAGGGTTTTGGTTGTCTGTAGGCTTATTTTCAATAGATTTTAAGAGTCTATCTAATTATTCTCTTTGTAACTGAGGGTACTTAATTTTTTGAATAATGACTAAAATAAGGTTCTAATTCTTGATTAAGATATTGATTTATTTAGTTGTAGGTTCATTATCCGAACTAGCGTTTGAGCTAGAGGATGTTACAAGTTCATCTATCTAGGTTTCTTTATTATCGAAATAGTCCGAAAGATCGGATGATTTTATTAACAAAATAGAGATTTTGTTGTAAATCTCTTTAAACTGATTAAGAAGAATTCTCCATTTTACATGATTTAAGTGAACCAATTCAAGATGCTGTATCAATACTCATCCCGACCATTTTCCTACATTTCATAAGAGATCCCTCTCATCTTAAAGACAAAAATGCTAAACTTCTAAGTAACCTTAGATGCAAAAAAACTTAGTGATTTCTAGTATTATATATATATATATATTTGAAAAATAGTTTTGTAATTTCCATTTCTAGGTTTTTGTGGAAATGTTAAGGAAAGATATTTATTGAATACAAAATTTTGAAAATGGAAACAAAAGCCTTATTTTTATTTAATTTAAAACAATTAAAAATGGACGAAAAATTCGTGTAAGCCCAACAAGGCCTTGTTTTTTATGATGGAGAATTTAGAAAAACAATGTCCTGGAGTTTCTAGTTTTCTAGAAAATTGGAGAAATAAAGAACGTGACTTTTTAAGTTTAAAAAAAAAAAAATCCATTTTTAATCAGTAAGACACATTTTCTATAGTTTTTCGTTTCATAGAAAAGTTTTCAAAAGTAAACAGAAACTAACTTTATGAAAGACGCTCGTTATTGAATATGTCATCTACCACCTAGCATGCTTTTTACGAGACCATCTAACTTGATTGCTAAACCTGAGATTTCAAGTCCATCTTCATCTTCCAACCGAGGGGGTAAAGATCCTTCTGCATCTCAATACATGCAACGACTAGACGTGATACGTCGGAGAAGAAGGAAAACCGGCAGTAATAGCACTGGAGGGAGCAGTTCCACGTACATGGGTGAGAATTATCAAGAAGTTTCGTGCAGAAACAGATATATTTATTTACAGTAAACAAAACGGAATACATAATTCAGTATTTTTTTTCCAGAAAGTCAACCACAAAGACAAGTTCTTTGGTGAATGGTATATGCCAGAAACATACCTGATACAGTGTGACATATTTTCCAGAGGTAAATCATTGCCATCTAAAAAGCCATTGAACACGAAAAAATGTTCTCTTTAATTGGTTACAGGCATGAAATATACAATCAAGTTTTTTGTTAGCTATTTCAGGGTGTCATCTTCCGGTCTTCTAAATTGATGGAAGGTTTGTACAATACAAGTAAATTTTTACAAATTATCATTCACGAATTTATAAATGCTGCTGAGCCATCAAAGTGCCTTTGATACTCTTACGTTGTAACTGCCTAAGACATTGCTGTACTTTGATAATTTCAAAGGCCACACAATATAGACTGACCTACCAAAATAGAGTCAATCCGTCTCTGCAGAGTATGTTACTCCTGTGATCAATGCATCACCCCCTTTAACTCACAGAAGGCCCAGATTTTTCAGCTGCAGAACATGTTCAGTTGGAAGTGGTGGAGGAGACCAGTCCAATCCCATCATTTCACCATCAACATCCTCAACAACATATTCCTAACAGAGCATATTACAGTCATTTCACAAGAAAAACAAGTCATAATAAATATTTATTCCAAGAACCTCAATAGATGCCAAAGAGAAAATGTCTGATGCAGTAAACAGCGAAAATGTTTTAATGTTGTGATTCCATAATCTGCCAAAGTGAAAAAATCATCCCAAGATGGACCTCTAAACCATCGATGCAATCTATTAAAACAAACTTTGCAGTTTTCATTGCAAAGGGACTTTCAGACCTAATGAGTTGGCACAAGGTTGTTACTTTGAAAAGCCTTTTTTTTTCCCCCTCTTGAACTGACCAGAACCTCAATCTAGAGAACTTTAATACAGCAATCACTTTTGTGCTAAGCATGACTAATTTTACAGAGCCCTAAATTTAAGTGCCAAACATGTTTCCCAAAGTGATCTTTTTTTTTTTTTTCACTTTTTCCTACTGGAGCCAGTTCCCTTGTAAAATTCAGGTAGGATGTAGTGAGCCAAAAAGTACGAGTACTACTTTCTTATTTAGTTAGAGCTGGTGACTTACTGGACCACTGAAATGATACTGAAGCATATTCAAAAAGATAAGAAGGTAGTTTACCACACTCACTTTTGTTAGCATCCTTTTCGCAAGTATATGATAATGCCGCTGCCAAATTCGTTGTCCAACCATTGTCGCCACCAAAACGCTGTAGAATATGCCAATCACAGTAAATAGTCCAAGCACGATCAAAGCCATTATAAACAATATTGGTAACCCTGCTTCACCAGCACCACCTAAGCAACCACATTCACCAGCTGCACTTGCACAGCTTTCAAAGCAAGTGGTACAGTCAGTCCACATACAAAGAGTGCCAGGTAAATGGCAGTCTGCACATACTCTGCAAGATTACAGACAACAGATGGATTGCGTAACTCATTATATGATTTGATTTCTCAAATCCAGTAGCCAAAAATACTCGGTAAAAGATAGAAATGAAAAAATTACAAGACACGTTTTTGTGTATCTTATGTATTTAAAAAAATATGAACACATGCCCTAATCCCCAAGGTTTGTTTTTAATAAACCCAAAAGAACACCTTGATTTGGTGCCAATTTAAACTTTAAGCACCCCTCTAAGTAACCAACGAAAAAAAAACTTGAGGAAAACTACAAAAACTTCTTGACTTACATCCGTGCTTTTCTAAATCAAATACTTGCATCTCTAGACAACAAAGCAGTTAACAACCAGTTAAGTTCGAACAAAATTTACTTAAATACTCAAATATTAGTTTTCAATTAAATTACCAAAACCTGCTCAACATTTGCATCCCTTCCCTTGTTTACACACACACACTAAAATCTATGATGAAAAATTACCAAAACTAAAAAAAAGTACTAGGGTCATAATATATTATATTATATTTATATACTAAATGCTATCTGAAACCACTGAAAAGAAAAGAAAAAAGGCAGTCCATTTAAAACAAGTGATGTAGAAATGATTGGTAAGGAAAAAATGAAGTGAAGTTTAGAGGTAATTTCAACATAATAACATCATTTTTTTAATTTGAATTTGGCATATTGGCACTTAACAAACGGCACCTAATAGAAGGATTAACTTGTGTCTGCATTATAAAGGTCAGGGATGTAAGGATTTAATTTAGAAAAGCCAAGATGTAAGTGTTGATAAGCCCAAACATTTGGGAGATGTTGGTAATTTACCCAAAAACTTAGGCAGACTCCAACATGCCGGATAGGAAAGGGCTAAAATAATCTTTTCCTCTGTTTAATTAGATACATGACATGCAAACAAAACATAAATGGAACTTTAATGCAATAGATGACAAGACCTAAAAGTTCAATATGTAAGAATTTTAGCAAATGAGCATGAAAAAAAAACCATGCCAGTCTGGAAAATATACATCTAAGCTAGCAAGTGCATCTAGATCAGCAAACTAGCTATTTTCTTTTTCAAAACTATAAGAAAAATAAACCAATAAAATAGTGTTCCGTTCATGCACAGGTAACCAACACCTTTACTGGGTTATGGTTCCAACTATTTGGATTCCTGACAAAGAAACCCAAGGTACCCCTGCCTTTAAATGAAATCCCTCAAGAATTTAACCAAACATATGCAGTTTCAAGCCAAGATTTTTATTATTGCACCAAACAAAGGAACCTAGCATATAAAATGTTCCAAGATTCCTCAAGATTTAAGAAGGCTTTAAAATTCCTCATTTCTTCTATGAAGAGGAAGACACATAAAAGAAAACCCTAAATCTCTTAATAAATGACAATTGACAACTCTAACATACATTTTCCTTCACATGCAAGAAAACCTAACAAAAAAGTTACTTGTTTGGTCAATCAAACTGTGCCTATAAACCCCAAACCCTCCCCCCCCCCCCCACACACACACACACAAAATTCCCCAACAAGAAAAACAAAAAACACAAACAGACACACAACAATGTCCCCTCCTATACCCACTCAATTCTCTAAATTTGCCTCTCCTTCCAGTTCAGTCTCACAGAGGTTTTTGGCTGAAATGGCATCCTCCTTCATTTACTTGCTTTAAATTCAATAAAGATGGTTCATCGATGGATGGCTTGTGCACTGGTGGTGGGGTTATTCGCAATACTCATAGTCATGTTATTGCATGTTTTTCTAACTTTTATGGTGCAGGAACAAATACACAAGGGGAGATATTAGCCCTTCGAGATAATTTTAAATTGTGTAAGGACTTATCACTTCACTTGGTGTGGGTAGAATCTAACTCTTTATTGGTTGATAATGCAATTCAGAATAAAGTGAGAACCTCATGGCAGTATAATCATTAGCTCAGGCAATGTCAGGTTCTGAAAGAAATGCATGTTTTTAATAAAGTGTCGCAATAGCAGATAGATTAACTACCCTGGCATATATTCAGAGAAAAACAAGAGTTTTTTGTTTATAGTGATTTGCCTTCAGATATTAAACTTGCTTGTAGGCATGATAGATTTGGTTTCTACAATTATAAGATATAAATTTTTTATGTATTATGTTTATTATATGGGTCAGGTTTCCTTGAAAAATATGGCAATCCAGAAATGAGAATAATTATATCCTGTGCAAAAGTTGTTGCAAGAATATAAAGCAGAGTTGTACCCAGGCTGGCAGCAACAAAGACATAACTCTCGACAAGGCTGAGCCAAATCATTGCGTACTCTTCTATCATAGCAAGTTATGAAGCACCCAGACAGCCCCAGCAAAGCAAAGAATAATAGTGCTCCTGTCCAACAACATTCTATCATAAAGATTCTATCCAAGTATTCTGGCAAAACTAAAACAAAATTACAGATCATGCTCGAATCCTCTCATAAATCTCACATGCTCCTGTATTTTAATATATTTATGTTACCAATTTATCAAGGTTAAAAGGATAAATGATATTTTTTTTGCATAAACTTCTCAAAGTATGCTGAAAATAATGGACAAACGGTTCAGTATCTAAATTAGCAACAGAAGTTCAAGCAGCCAATTACATATAACTCCAGAACAACTTGTGTAATATCATAGAAATGGGTCAAACAGTGTATCAAGAACAGTCAATCAATCTACTTGTCAGTTCAAGCAAGCGGCCAGTTTTTATGAATAAATACCATTCAAGGTAGCAGATAACAGAGATATGCACCTCCATGCAGCAAGAAAATCTTTTTTATATTATAAGGAAATTAAATTCATAAATGAAGTAAGTTTGCTACACTTAAGATGACAAAATGACAGGACCATGAATAGGTAAACATGGCAGGTTGACATAACCCAAATCACAAGCAACAACACTGTTAATCTGTAACAATACCATGATACAAGAGCTATGTGTCTTAAGCATGCATTGAGAGGAACTATGATAAATATCATTTTTGGGTTTTTGAGATTACCACATATGTAGTAGAAACTAAGCTCACTATCAAAGCCCCAAGCGAGACGAAGCCAAGACTTTTGATAAGTGTCAATTAGGTACACCAAATATGTTAGTGAAGCAATTACCTGAAACAAATTAATATAAATAAATAACAATAAAACCTCTGGAAGGGAAAAAAAGAAGAAAAAGAACAGAAAAGGTATAGATCAAAATAACTAAAAGTAGGGTACTGATGACCTACAAGCTGAACAGCCAGAAATATAAACGCGATGTCTCTAGTCACAAAGAATCGAAATTTCAGAGTTCGCCATTTCCTATCAGCAGCAACATGAACTCTCAAATGGTAGGGAGTCTTGCAGGTTGTGCAGTGTGCAAATGCAAAACCTTCCTGAAGAAAATAAACAGGAATTATCAAGAAAAAATAAGCAAACAACTCCATAGCAGAAATCCCAGGTTAAGTGGGGGCAAGTGTCAGATTAACTTGTTGCATAGATAAAACCAACAACTTATCGTGAGGCATCAATTGTCTGTAGAAACTTGACATGAAAATAAAGAGAGCGAGCTGCTTCATGTAACAGACTCCAGAAAACATATCAATGACAACCAACATACTCTGCCTCCAGATATATATATATATACTGCCTCTGTTAAGGAAAGCCTGGACTACCAATTCATCACATTAATCACTTAGCCAACTACTTACTGTCACATATGTGTCATCCTGCCTCAAAATACAGTTTGCAAGCTTGGCAGGCACCAAAAGGATAGTTATACTATGAATGATCCCAATATAAAGGTGCTCGTTAGCACCTCCATTCATAGAATTTAAATATCTACCATGAAGTTGCATCTTTTTTTCCTTTACAGTTCTAGGTCTATTGTCCTATTTTATAAATTGTCTACATCCACTTCTTAAAAAAAATTAAATGAAGGCCACCCTGCTGGTAATAGACTAATTTCAAAATCTAACAGATCCAAAAAAAACCGCATTCTATGGAAAAGACAACGAATGCAACATTTAAGGAAATAGCAATCATTCTTGACTAAGGAAAAATATAGAAGAGAGGGGAAAAAAAGATTTGAATTATTGAAATGCAAGTGGCCTCTAAGCCACATAATTCCACATCAAGCATCTGTGAAGAATATGGTATTAATAAAAGAGTTCGTCAATTTCTAACCAACACGCAAGCACTGAAGGACACGTTTTCTAACTTTGAGTAATTCAGTGACCTCATCCAAACGCAAATTGGCTTTAGTCAGCTCACAAGCAGAGTCACATCAAAAGATGTTGTTAACATAGAATTCAAGCAACAATGTGAGATCCATAAAACAATACATTATAACCCATATCACTAACATTGTGCAAGAAACGTGGCAAACATCCATACCTTCACTGCTCGCCACTGATCCAAACATTCCCGATGTACATACTTTGATGTTCCTTTGCACTTGCAAGGTGTGATAAAATCCCTACCTGAGGAGAAGAAAGCATAATTAACCCAAAAAGTAAACACAAGTTCCCTGAATTTTTTTGCCAGAAATCTAACGCATTTACATAAGAGTTCAAAGGAAAACCAAAATTGTACAAAAGCTACAAGGACACAAACGACTAAGCCCTGTAGATGACCAGTAAAACTGAGAAAAAGAAAAGAACTTTCATGATCAAATTATCAGTTCAACAACGGCTAAGCATTACATTACAAAGGTGATACTTTTAACTAAATTCAAGGCCAAGTTGAAAAAATGCCAATATCTACGAACTCTAAACAACATTTTTTTCTCTTCAATTTCATAATCTCCACATTCAACAGCAACTCAGCAACAATAACACCAGAATAAACAAGAAGTATAGAACTCTAAAATGCAAACAGAAACAAACTCTAAATATTTCACAAGCAAAATTCCCAATTTTAGTGAAACTCGCCATAAATAAAAATAAAAAAAGCTACAAATTCCAAGCAGCAACAATTTCTAACATCAACAATAACAATAAACAACATATTAAATAAAATTCTGAAGTGTGTAAGTAAAACCTCCACAAATTATCAAATTAACCTTAAAAAGAACCAGTTTTTAAATTTTTTATTTACCTAAAAAAATTCTACATCCACAAGCAAGTACAAATAAATTCCTAAAATGGTAAATAAAATGGATGAAACTAAGCGACGACTTTTACAGTAAGTATTGAGCAATTAAAGAGGAAATGACCGTCAGTTTCGAGGCAAATACGGCACTGAATTTGCTCGCCGGGACCGGCTTCAAGGTCGATCTCGCTGGGTTCGGTGATCGGTAACGGAGGAATTAGAGGTGACGCGTCTGATACATGATCAGCCATTGAAAATTTGAAACACAGAGAGAGAGGATTAGCTAATTAGTTGATTAATTAATAAATTTACAAAAAAAATTATTAAGAATGGGTTTTCGTTTCATCAAGGCGAAAACCCTTCTTCAATTGCTCTCTCCCTCTCTCTCTCTCTCTCTGTTGATTTCGTTTTTCGTTTACTTTTTAAAGCTTAAATAAAAGTTTTTTCTTTATTATTATTATTATTTTATGTCAAGGGTATTTTTCTTGAATTTTTGTGTAAAATGAGATTAAATTCTTTCTAGAACTATTTTAAATACACACTCTCACGTCCATCTGCTGCAATAAAAATTAATAAATTTCCATATGATTTAATTTCAAAAAAAAAATCTAAAAATAAATAACCAACATCTTTAACCATTTAGCTAATGCTTTAAAATTTATTCGAATATAAATGTTGGATGCGATTCCTAACAAGAGTTTAAGAAAGATTCATTTCTTCTTTAGTTTACTTTCGCTTTCTCTTCTTTTTGTTTTTTCTTTTGTATCATTTTTTCTTAAAATTTATAGCATATACGTATTAGTTTATGGTTATTATTGGACCTGGACAGTGAAAGTAGCTCTTCTCTAAGGATACTGTTGGAAAATTAAAAACACTCTTGAGGACAGAGTTGTTGGAAAACTAAAAACGGTAGGGGCCGGAGTGAGAATTAAGAAAACCACAACGTAAGACGTTACGCCTGTGAGAGGAGGACATGTCCGAGCCCGGGTTCGAACCGGGGACCTCTAGTGTGTGAGACTAGCGTGATAACCAACTACACCACCCCGACGACTTTGACTGTTCTTTCAACTTTTATAATAATACATTAAATACAAAAACGCGGTCTAATATTGTAGACGTCATCAATGGTTACCACAGAGCAGGGTTCTTGTGTTACGTTTAGTGAAGACTAATCCTGCCGTTATATCCCTACGAAACTTTTTATTAACTTACAAGGCTGGTTAATTTTTGCTTTCAAGAAAAGCATGTCAATTCTTCAATTCAATGTTGGAGATTTTATAGTACGTAAACATTTTACAATTTTCATCCTTTCATGCTCTAGAAAAGGATATCATTAGCTCATGAAATGCACATTATAATTATGATGTGGTAAAGTTATTTCTATTAGAGAATAATATAAAAGAGGAGTGCTAACGACGCTCTCTTTTAAACACTTGCTTAATAACCGTGTCCATGTTGAATAACAACCGACGTAAAATAACTTATATTCCATATTCTTAGGATGTTTTTAAATTACAATAAATCTCATATTATTTAAAAGTCTAAAATACCCTTATTTATTTATTTAACTTCATTAGCTGCTTATAAAACAAAATAATTTATCAAACAATTTCGAGCTTTCTTCCCAATGGTGGAGCCACGGATGTTGCCTTGGCATGGTCGGTGGCCATCGGCTCGCTTTCACGAAATTTGGAAATTGCTTATAAATAACACCTGAATTGTCTAACCCCATAAGCAAATCACCACGAGAAAATTACCTTTTTTTTATTTTATTTTAATCCAAAGTCAAATAGATGAACAGAGGAATAGAATTTCAGAATTAGTATAGTTATAAGGTACTTTTATTGGACAAAAATTCAAACCGAACAAACTTTCTTCCAAGATTATCTCTTTCAACATTCACTTATGAGATAACGGCGGCTAAGAGTTCACTAAGACTATAACCAAACAATGAAGTCCATGCTCTAATGAGCTATTTATTTCACGACAAAGGTCCGCACAATGGGTTGTTTATCGCATGAACATGATACTTTTGAGTAAGCTTTTCATTGTGTATGTTGAATTTTTACATCACCCCTTGCCAATTCCGCAAAAGAAATTCAATAAGTCGAACATGTTTCTTATTGTAAAAATATTATGTCAATAATTATCTCATACAACAATTATACCTTCAAGTCAGTTTCGCATCTCAAAAGCTCGTCAAGTGTTGATATTATTAAAAATAAAGTCAACGAGACCTATATATAAACATGCATTACAAAATTATTAGTATTAAAATAATTTAAAAACTTTTATATAAAATTCAAAACTCTTTTTATAGATTTTAAGGGGAGCTTACCATCACGTGACATACAATTAGATTAAGTTTCATATACACCGAGACTCGTGGGTTCACTTATGTCCTATCACATGTCATAACAACAATTATAATTTAAATAGATGTCATCAAGGTCATATATATCTATAAATTTACTTCTAATTATAAACTTAAAGCATACCATTCCTTCCATGTATTTTCCGACATAAGTAGAGGCAGCTATGTTTTGTAACTAAAAAAAAAAAAAAGAGTTACTTTCAAATTTTTATATGGAAACATAGTACATATAAAAATTTTAATATAAGCATTAAAAGGAAAAAAAATCTTCATTCTAAAGTCGAACACCTTAAAAGTGACTATAATTGAATTATGAATTACCATCATTGATGACTCATTTACTTCAATGCTGGAATTTTTCTGCACAAAAAATAATAAAATCAGCTTCTTGATTATGAAATATATTAACCATGTAAAATTGAACCATAGTCACCAAGATCAATATGAACGAACATTATAAAGCTAATACTAACCTTTGTGAATTTCTTATTTGACTTTCTTTTCGATTTTTTTAAACTCCACTCTTTATTCTTTTTGGTGCCTCCTTTGTCTTTACCACTTGAGGATCACATACCGTAATGCCATGCAATGAATTACTCGTCAACATTTTCTTTGTTAACAACATGGACTTCAGACTCCTCCTTTTATAGCAAGTATGCTTGTCAATTTTCAAAGAATGATTAATATTTGCATATTGCTTTAGGGTTTCTTCAATTGCTTGACATGTAAAGTTATAGCTCTCCTAAAAAATCGATCCCTTTTTCAATCAACTCCGTTGCTTTTTGAAACAAGTGGTCATATCGTTGCTTCTTTGATTTTACTTCCTTATGCACATTCATTATCTTATACTTTGTTCCGATATCCTTAGTCCATCTCCTTAATATGTAGTGTGATGGGATGCTAAACACACCCACGACTTGTAATGTTGCCAATGTATGCCTACACAAAAATCCATTATACTCAAATGAACGACATATGCAAGAAATATCCATTTTTAATGCATTCCACTCTACAAGAAAGTCTTCTTTTTGTTCAAAGTCTAAGACTTTGAAAGTAGTGATATGCTCATCTTCCTTCTCTTTTCTAAGATAACGACGGATAATCCCAAAACCTTGATTTGAAACTTCTTAAAGATCTCGTGAGTATAAATCATTGACATTTATTTCTCAAAAGGTGGTGGAGTTTTCAATACGGGTTTCTTGTGTCATGTATTGAAATCCGTTTGATTCTCTCGCCTTTTCTCTATCCCGTGTAGCCACCTTATATTTCTCAACAAATTCTTTCAATGTCGTTTTTTTCCCTACATATTTGTCAAAAAAAGAGTTGATACTTTCGACCTTTCGAGTTGTTGACATGCCACCAAAAAATATATCCTTCATATAAACGAGCACCCATTTCTTATGATCTTCATACAAAGATCGCATCCATTCGTTCTCAAAAAGCTCAAACCTTTCAATCATTTTTCTCCATCCATCTTCAAACTCGCTCCTTTGTTTGAGATCTATAAATACATTTATTTAAAAATGTTATAAAATCTTCATTCTTTTTCACTAGATGACCAAGTTTTTCGTGGACCTTTCTTAATATGTGCCGGAGGCAATAACGATGTTGAGCACTTGAAAAAACTTTTTCAATGGTTGATTTCATGGCTCTATCCGGATCGGTTATTATTGCAATTGGAGACTTTCCACCCACGACTCTAATCCATGTCCGCATTAACCAAGTAAAAGACTTTTCCGATTCATCCGCAAATAGTGCACATCCAAGCAATGTTGATTGATAGTGATTATTCACTCTAATAAAAGGGGCAAAAGGCATTTTGTACTTATTGGTGATATATGTTGTGTCAAAAGAAACAACATCTCCGAAATCTTAATAATCATCTTTCCCTTTTGTATCAACCCAAAAAACATTTTTCAATCGACCTCCATCTAAATCTATAGCATAAAAAAACCTTGGATTCTTTTCTTGCATATGTATAAAATACTTAAGCATTGCATTAGCATCTCCATATTCCAACTCTAAATTACGCTTTTTATCCAAATGATTCTTGATGTCTTTTTCTAAACAACAATATTTTCATATCCACCATGTTCTTTGGCCACTGCAGAGATAAATTTTGGTTGTTTTTACCCCAACAACATTTAAAGTCTCTATACAATGTTTTTAAGCTGAATTGATTCTTCTATGGCAAGGGAAATAACGAGCATATGCTAGAAACAATTCATGGTTGTGATCTTTGATGAAGTTTTGAACATACCACTTCTCGTCATGCCTTCTTTTAATATGTAGCATAGCCTCACATTCCATCTTCAAGCAAGGACGTGGATTATTGGCACTAAATGGTCACTTAGTACCATGTCTTGTGCAAGCATATTTCACATCAATAAATTCTCTCGATTCCTTTGAACGTCGACTGGTTTTAGTTGATATTCCAAACCCCACATCCTTAGCATAATTTCTATAGAATGAATAAGCATTGCTTTGTGAGTCAAATTCCATTCCAATGTAAGGTTCCGTGCTTACATTTTTATCGATTCATCGACGCATGAATCAAAATTATCAATATCATTGAGAACATCTTCTCCAATATCAATATTTAAGTCAACGTCCAATCCCATTTTGGTCGATATCACAAAAAACAAAATGAAAAGTAATTAAATGATATATATATATATATATATATATATATAATTTAGCAAATCAAAATCTTATAATCATAAATAATAATAAAGCACTAAGTTTTAACTATAACAATCAAATAATTGATTAAACCATACACCTACAAGTTCGCGATTCTAGATTTTACTACCCAAAAGATTGCTACAAATTATATGCATAACTCGTGCTTAAAAAAATAATTCTCAAATCACCCAC